CACACATGGTTCTGGATGCAGCTAATAGCCAAGAGGCCTGCTTTGCAAAAAAAGTTATTCATGAAGCTGAGACCACACAAAAACAGACTAGAATAAAAATACAGATGTGGGCCAAGAAAAGCAAACAGCCAACCAGCTTTGCAGGGCGAACTCTGACTGCTCTCAATTTCCTGAGCTGATAACGCTGCAACTAACAGAAGATATTTGAACACACTTTTGAAAAAAAAATCAGAAGAAAAACTTAAGCATTTTAAACATAAGCAATTAGCACAAAAACTACTTGACTCCCCAGTGGCCTGATAAAAGAGTTAAAGCAGCAAAAAAATATTAATACAAAATTTTGGCACTGTTCATAGAATACCTCTAGTGATCAACACACGAAGCCCCAGCCCGAATGAAGCTATGTAGAAGCCTATGTAGACAAATAAAAGGGTAAAACTGCAACTAGGTTCTACACCTAAGCCAAAAACCCCTAAGCCAGAGAAAACGCGTATCATTAATTTCAACTAGCGTATGTTCATTCAAATTAATCCCTGGAATTACACCCTTACCATCATAGACACCTACAGACCAGCGACCAGAATTTTTATTCGGACGCATGTTTGGCATGATGAAGCACAGAATTAATGGAGCGAGGCTTGCAGGGAGCGTCTCACCCAGGACAGGAATACCAGGCTGCATGAGCATCTATCCTTATGAACTGCTAACTCCAATTTACAGAATTGAAAAGGACACAGCAAGCACACCAGTACCCACGTGTCTCATGGGGGTTGCAACTACTGCTTTGCGTGAAAAGTCTGACATGCTTTTAGCTCTGCTCTAAGGTGCAAAGCATCATTTAGTATGCACTTGCACTAAATTGCTTTCCAATTTTGAGTGAGAGGATGAAGTAATTAGAGCCACTTTCCAGGGCTATTTTTTTAAAGCTCTTTCACCCTCCCCTCCACACATTTTCAAAACTATTCTTTCTCTTAGCAGAAATGCATGAAATTAAACTTCTCTCCTTTCTTCTTCCGTTTTTCACTACCATTATCAGAAGATTTATGGCTGTAGTTAAGAAACCATTGAGAGAGAGAGAGAGAGAGAGAAGAAAGATTCCTTCTGTACAGTATCCCACTTCCCTCCCGACTCCTGTTTTTCATTTTGCAAAGACTGCTGGCTACCTTCTGCTCTGCAACAACTTGAGAGTGGTAATAACCTGAGTGTGCTGAGTGGGAAGCAGTATTTATGGCCAGGCACTTTCAGGGAAATTCAATTCATTTAATGAAAAATAGTGCGGGAAAGAAAGGCTGGAAATGTAATTTGGCTAAAGAATGGTAGAAACACAGATGGTCCCCATGTTTCAGATTCCCGGCCAGGCAGAAGCTTCTCCCAGCACCTCCATCAATACTGGCTTAAGGGATTTGTATTGAGCAGATTTGCAATCACTTTTCCTTAAGAAATTTTAAAAGCACTCGTATACTGCTACAAAGAGCAATACAGAAGAGCACTCCACAGCACACATCATCGATGGGCTACAGAGATTGACCTTCTCTGCCTTCACAAAGTATTAAACCCAGCTTAGAAGAGGAATACTTCACTTTATGATCCTAACTTGGAACCCACACGCTGCAGCATACAGATGTCAACTCCTTCCAATCAAGCAGAGCAAATATCGAGTCAGCTGGGTCTAAAGGCCCCAAGCACAGCCTCCACCACCAGCTGAAGAGTCGCACAAAAATTTAAAGTACATAAGGACTACCAAGAACCCACGTACTGAACTACGCGGGCACTACTCATACTCATGCTCTGAGAAATGACACTGTGGGCTGCAATCTCCTGTGCCCTGCAATACCAGAAGCCTGCAGTAGCCAAGCTCCTTTCTTTGCACACAAATCTAACGTGATGTATGTTTATATTTCAATTTTAATTTAATTTTATTGCTTTCACACTAGCAAGCATGAATAATTTACAAAGCCTCTTCCCTTTGGGGCTTCTTCCGGACCATGCAGTTATATTTCCTCAGCTGCTGCAGTTGTGTCATATTCATGCTCCCACAATGCCCAGGGGTTTTTTTTCCATACCTTTTCCTCAGACATAGCAGCAAGATCCTGCTTCATACAGTGGATGCTTTCAGCACCACTGCAAAAGGGAGCATGCATGTGTGCGCGCGAATGAGAGGAGAATGGGGGAGATCAGAGAAGGAGTTTAGGGGTACGGGGAGGATAGAAGATTCCTTTACAATTAATCACCTGCTTTATTCCATTAGAAGAGCACAAAAATTGCAGTCCTCAGTTTCCCTGTCAACAACATCCATTTCCATGTGCTCCCCCCATTCCATACACACAGTCGTATTTCTTCCAACTATTCAAAGTATTTATTTGGGGCTATAAACACAAGAACTTCCTAAGACTTCTTATCCCCTACCCCCCGTCCGCGTCTCTCCCTACCCCCGTTCTGCAGAACGTAGCTCGAAGGGACAGAATTCAGAAACAAGTGAGAGAAGGTGAGAAGATGGCAGCCGTGAAGAGAGGAAAGGAATTTTGCAGGATCCCAAGACCGATTACATTCCAGCCATTAGTGCGAAGGATGCTAAGAGAGCACGCGCCCACCAGACTCCTTGTGCTACAGCAGCGTTCATCTCGTTTGATATGCCCCCATTACCCTTCTTTCAGGTATAAAACACAATTTGTTTTGTAACCACATCAGGAAGGCAGGCCCCTCTTGCCTAAAATCTAGTGATCTCCCTCATCTGTGCCTTGCTTATAGAGCTACCTGACATACTTCAAGAAACCTCTGCATGGAAGCGTTTGCGACAACTTAATCAATCCCTCAAATGTTTGTAATGGATTTCTCTTTATCCACAGCATGACAGAAACCACAGATCAAACTGCACCAGTGCAGAAGTCTTCTTCCAGCCTGGTCTTCTCCCTCTTCTCCCTGCCACCAGGCCCCCCATTTCTCCTGGGAGGAGGAACAGAGACAGGCTGGGTAAGTCTCCACGACTGCTAGTCTGGATTTCTAGGGCTGGAGCCAGGCAGTCGATCAAGGACAGCAGAGAAATCTAGAGGCATGCAACACTTGTATACGGTGTGGGTGGTCATTCCTCTTGCTACTTCGCTGTGGTAACATCAATTTATAAAATACAAGTAGGTTAAAAATTAGAAAAAAAAAAAATCACTGAAGGTAACCATAGAGTAGTCCATAACGAGAGATCACAATCCACCACTAAAATACACAGAAGCCTGAGATTAAATTCCATTTTAGAATTCCTTTCCTCCCTCCTGAATTCTAACACTTCATATTCTAATATTATTAAACTATGTAGAAACAACAATATAAAATGAACAAGTCTACACTTAAACAGCAGCACTAAGGAGAGACATGAAACCTTGTTTCCCTTACATGAGCCAAAACTGAGCCACAAAGCCCTCATTCAAGTACTACAGATTCCCTTCCTGTTCAATTTATAGTAGTTTTAGACCTCCTGAAAGATTTAAGAGTGACACGGTCACCAAAAGCACAGACCATGACTTAATAGCAACATGAAGGATATGCCTGTCATGTCAAACTGACAGCTGAAAAATTTACAATAGCAGTACTAAGG